TAGATGCTCACCCGGTACAGGTAGCACAGGAAGGCCAGTGAGAAGGGTTAGGGTTAGGGTTAGGCAGTAACCCTAGATACTCACCCGGTACAGGTAGCACAGGAAGGCCAGTGAGAAGGGTTAGGGTTAGGGTTAGGCAGTAACCCTAGATACTCACCCGGTACAGGTAGCACAGGAAGGCCAGTGAGAAGGGTTAGGGTTAGGGTTAGGCAGTAACCCTAGATACTCACCCGGTACAGGTAGCACAGGAAGGCCAGTGAGAAGGCCAGGGCTCCGCATGTGACCTGTCCCAGCAGCCCCAGGATCAGGATGAGCAGTACCTGAGCCCAGGGATGGAGGACACCACAGTGCCTGGACAAACAAGGTCTGCAGGAGAGAAACGTGAATGGAAATATGGCGGATAAACACAGAGATGGACAGATAGTTAGCGGGCAGTGATGTGGGGGGAGGTCCTTGCCTGTGCAGTGGGGCCATGATCAGGGACAGTGTGCGCAGGGTGAGCCGAAACAGCGCGCTGCCCCAGAAGGCCACGGCTGCTCCCAGCACATGCAGCACAAGGCCCAGCAGCCGGCTCCAGTCCTCCGCTGGGTCCACGCCGCCCGCGCCATCCAGGGTAGACACCGGCAGGCCGTCTGGCAGGGGCAGCGACAGGGCGGACCAGCCGTCCCGGAACCAGCTGAGCCTGAAGGGCAGGAGGCAGGGGGAGAGTGAGCCGGGTTGGGGACGCCAAACGGGGAGTGGCAGGCGAGACCAACCTTAGCAATAGCTGCAGCAAGTAGACTGGGATCTCCACCTTATGCGGCTGGACAGCGCCCCCTACAGCTGTGCTCATGGCCAACGGACGACCTGTAGGGTGAGTGCAATGAAAAGAACATTGGAAACTATAAAATCACTGATAATGATGTCTATATATAAATTAAAATAACTACATATAAGTCTAATTTGTCCTTACAACATATAAACCCAACTGGAGCTAGAATGTGTTTCATGACAAACCAAAACACAAAGAACTAGTGTCTAAATTTCCCGGAGGAACCTTCCCAAGGGATGAATAAAGTACTATCTAATCTAATCTAATCTAATCTTAAAATACTATTTTTAAATCCTGAAGAGAAGCGCAAGATGTTGTCTCGCTGTCGACTTACTGAACACGATATACATCTGTTCCACAAAAAAAAAAAAACAGACGCAGCTCGATTCGTCTTGAACAAAAGACGTTTTTAATCAGCAATACCAGCCTCAAAGCCATCACTCACTGGCACACCCCCGGAAGAATCTGCTTTAATGATCGATGGGGGTGTTAAGGCTCACTGCAGACCAGTCTTCCTGTCTTTGGGCACCATCTCACCTGTCCTGATTAAGGAATCAATCTGTCTCTCGCAAGCCAGCAACAAGCCCACCGCAGTGTAGGACGGAAGGGTTGGACCACAGTAACGGAGCATCTGGGGATAGACACACACATGCACACACACACACACACACACACACACACACACACACACACACAAACAGACACACACACAGACAGAGTCAGACACAGTGACCTTGCAGCTTGGCTGGGCTGTATAAATTAACACTGTTTTGAGTGACACCTTGGGGACCTTGATTACTCTTTTTTAAGCATTATTTCTAAGTGTCATCACAGCTAGATTCACCAAACAAGCTCAAAGGAGTTTTGTTGTCACAATTTCCCCTGTGAGCTTCTGAGAGACAGTAAAGCAGGATCAGTGCTTGGACAACTTTGGTACAGACCATAGCCCATCTGCGAGGACGTCTGGCCAGGCTGTTGCCTGAAGGTGACTTACTGTTTATTCAGCTAATGAGGCTATTTGGTTATTGAAATATTTTTTACCTGGCCCAGCACCTTGGGGAAAGAGGTCCTCACTGACACCTAAGGGCGGGAAGATTCACCATTCAGCATTTTTTAACTAAACCTGTGCATCTGCATTAAAATCTGCAATGTATCACGAGAAAAGGCCGAAGACTACGGTGCTGTACCTTGTACTGGCAATTAGGGGCAGTGTGGAGCTGTAGGAGGACACTGGATGTGTTATCAGGTCGGCTAGTGTGTAGCATGGCAGCTATCTCTGTTACTGAGGGCACACTGAGAGAGAGAGAGAGAGAGAGAGAGAGAGATCACAATACAGCAGTATCCCAGGAAGGGAGGTGAAAATAAGGAAAATAGCAGCAGGCTAAGGTGACCCACCTGGCTGCAGTGAAAAAACCCTCCCTGAACCAGGGCACGGACAGTCTGTAAACGCTGGGCAGGCGGTCTACAGGGAGGGGCAGGTAGACAGAAACTGTGAAACTGGGGGCCGACGGTGGTGGCTCAACTCAGTGTTAGTGTTAGTGATCTGCAGAGTCCAGACCGACCTCCATCAGTGGCCTTGCTTTCCGCTGCCCACAATCCACACAGGAAAAAACAAACTCTAATTACCTTTGGCGGTTTTGCACTGGCTCATAATGGTGATTCTGAAAGCCTGATAGACCTGCAAATGGAGCAGAGGTGCACATGCTTCAAACACAAGCCATGGCCTGCTCTGTCTGCAGGTGATGATCCCAGATCTATACGTTTCTCCAGGCAGAGAGTGACCAACCCCTCTAGCTGATGATCCCAGATCTATGAGGTTCACTGGGCTAAGGGTGACAATCCCTGAGGTGGTGATCCATCAGTCTCAAAAAGATGCTGGACCATCCTTGAGTTTCAGGGAGCAGAAAGGGATTATCTCTGAGATTTACGGAGTTGTAGATGATGTGTCTGGCATACACCGTCAGGAAAAAAGTACCGTTCAAGGGACAAATTAGGGACTTGTCACTTAGGCTGTACCCTCAAGGATCTGCCAATTGTACCCTAGCTCTAGACATGTGTACCTTTTAACCTTTTAAGGTACAGAAAACATTTTTGTAACAGTGGGGTACAACTGGGGTACATTAATGTTATTTGTACCTTGGGGAACAAAACCAGGGCTGTACCCTTTTCTCGGACAGTGTACTGGGCATGTGGGTGACAACTCTGTGCCCTGAGATCAGTGTTTCACCTGGTGAAAGTTCTCCAGCCACACGGTGTGCAGAAGCCCAGTGGAGTTGAGAGTGACGTCACTGACGGTCAGACCTGTAGAAAAAAAACAGCCAAACACAGAAGGATTAATCAGCAGGGTTTCATGCTAACAGCACATCTGTGTTCGGCCTGCATCCCCAGCCCTACCTGTCTGCTGTAAGAAGAATTACAGGGTTGAACCACAGGGGAGCAACTTAGCAAAAAAAAAAAAAAAGTCAAACATCACTGCATAACACAAAAAGAGCAAAACGGCAAGAAAAGAATAACAAAATGTACTGTGGGAACCAAAAACAATAACAACAATGCTGTATTACTGCAATTTATGGAATATATCTTTCTGACAGCTTGGTTAACTGCTTAGCATGGGGTGGCTAACACGATGATCATATAGTTTTGGATGTAAAATTATTACAATGGGAAACTACATCTTACCAACAAGATTAAAGCAACTGAACATTATGCCGAATGATGAGAATTGTACAAAACCATTTGCATATATGAACTAAAGCATCGGTGTTGAGTTGGTCCCCGCCCAGGGTTGGTTCCCGCCTGCGCCCGTTGTTCCGGGGATAGGCTCTGGGCCCCCCGCGACCCCAGTGGGGGTTAAGCGGTTACAATAATGGATGGATTGAACTAAAACATTTGGACATTTGTGTGAAGCAATGAGAAATGATGAAGGGACATTATGATGTTGGGATTACACTTGTTATTTTGCACATGTTAACTGTCATTTGAAAATTGCTCCAAAGCAATCAACTAAGTATCAGTTTGCTAAAGAAAAATGATTGGTCAACGACAATGAGGAAGTGAGAATCGACTCATTCAGCATTGTGGAGCTCAGGAGCAAATTACACTGACATACTGACAATATATCTAAGCATTTTGACTCTCATGGTTAAAACGATGCTCACTGTACTTTTCATTTTGGTGGCGCTGACTAAGTCATTGCTGTTATTGTTTGAGTTAATTGTTTTGGGTAAGTACAGGCTAAAAAGGGGCCTGGACATACAGTAGGGGGGGGTAGCTGCCCCCTTTTGCCCTCCTGTAGATCCGCCCCTGGCCTACATGCAAAATGTCCAGGGGCCGTGTTTGTGTCTGACGTCAGGCACGAGCGTAAACAGAACTGGTGCAGGAGCTACGCAACTTCTAACAAAGCAAGAACAAAGCAGTGAGAGTTACAGAGCTAAATGGTGTCCCACTGAGTGACAATAACACAGCTGTCAGCACTGACTCTGTGTAAAACTCATGCCGGAATTCATTATTGATGATGCAAGACGGACCATAAATTATTACTGTTGTTATACGAGAGACCATAAAATGAGCACATTGTCTTTGGCGGGGGGGGGGGGTTCTGTCACGCGGTGGGTGCTTTCAGGGGGCCCCCGGTTCTGGCTGAGCATGGGGGTGGGACGGCTGATCTGGGCAGAGCTTAATGAAAGCGAGACAGGATATGAAACACATCACAAGAACATTGAAATTTAAAGAAAATTAATAAACGTACATTTAAAAAAAAAAAACAAAGATATTGGTAACACTTTACTTGAGAAACTTAGTAACTCAGTTACTGCTCAAGTACAAATCATGACCCATTATGATTGATTAATGAAGAACAAACACAGGGTCAGTACACAAATAACACTTAGCTACTGGTTAATTAATGCATTAAGTAAGAGTGTACTACTACATTATTTGTGACCCCTCAAGTAAAGTGTTACCAGACACTGTCTTAACATCCAAATCTCCCGGAGGAGTACAATACCATCTTACACTTTTAACAGTGGGCAGTACGTTCAGGCACCCAGACTGTCCTACTCTGTGGTATAAAAATAGCTTTGACCCTTAAACTTTAGCTCTAATTGGATTTTGAAAAGCAAAGGGGAGGGGGAGCTGCTGAGGCATCCTGCCACATGTGGGACGCTCACCGAGGGAGAGGACGTGCGGCACGGGCGTGGACACCGTCCTGGAGTCCAAATTGAGCCACTCGCACTCCACACTGAACTGTGAGAGGGATACAGACAGGATGCAGCTCACAGTCTCACATGGGTGTTAGGTCAGAGCCCCAAACGTGTAATTAACTCTGTTTGTATGTGTGTGTGTGTGTGTGGGGGGGGGGGGACGTACCTGATTACCAGCAAGGTTAGAGGCGGCGATGACCAGGTGGGACACCGAGGACAGGTCACTGAGCCTCACTGTCACTACCTGCGGGCAGACGGCGGGCAGACGGCTGGGTGACTCACAGGGGCCTTCGCGCGGGTCGCCCGCGTGCCCGCAGTGACGGGGGACGGGGCTTACCTTATAGGCGGGCAGCAGTTCTGTCCCCCAGGACAGGTCTATAGCCTGCACGCTGACAGGAGAGAGCGCGGGTCACTCTAAGTATGCAAATCATTCACTGATGACCTGTGCTTCCTGTCCCAGTCCACTGCCCCTTAATATCAGCACCACAAGCACAGGGCAAAAAAAGTGTATATTTGGCAAGGACTGGCAAAACAATGAAAACACACACAAATGATGTCACCACGAAAAAAGCCACTGAGCACTTATGCAGATCAGACACCTGACATATCTGAAGTCGGGGCTGTTTCATCATTAGGATGAAAAATTCTGAGGTAAAGAAATACCGTGTTTCTTTTTTTATATAATATAATGGTTTCGCTTCCAGGATAGGCTCTGGACCCCCGTGACCATGCATAGGAAATGGATGGATGGATGGATGGATGGATGGATGGTTCGGCTTAACCAGCACCAAACACAAGCTGGGAGGGACGCCTGCTAAGCCAGAATGTAGCTGAAATATCCAGAAAATGGTGAAAAATGGGGAGTACAGGACTCCCTGAACACAGGAGGTGAGGGCAGGGCAGGGGAGGCGCAGTTCTCACCAAAAGGAGGTGTTCATCTGGGTGCAGCCATACAGCCAGCTGCTCATCTCCTGCAACACACAGCGGAACGGCAGCTGTCACGACACACCAGTCCCATCACTTACCACCAGGTAGCGCCCCTGAGTCACAGTGATTCATCTCACCAGACTGCTGCTCCGACAGTGGAAGTGGCTGTAAGCCTTCCTGCGGCCAGAGAGGGCGAACAGGAAGTACTTCACCCTGGGCTCCTGCAACGACGTGTAGCGACATCAGCCCGACATGGCGGCTCAACGCAGGAAAGCGAAAAAGCGCGAGAGCTTGGGGGCCCCCGACCGGACGCCGACCTTGGGCGCGCTGTACAGCAGCCTCAGGGTGTTCACCTCTGTCCACGCCTCAGCAGGGCCTGTATGACGGAGAGGAGAAGGTCGTCAGCGGGTGACTAGTGCCGCGTGGAGTTCCGGGGGTCAGCGCTCTGCTGCTGACCTGATAGCAAGGAGACCGCCGTGTCGTGCTGCTCTTCCAAAAGCCGCATCGGGTGCCTGATGAAGTGATGCTTCAGCACAGCCATTCTGCGTTGCTGGTCCTCGGTGAACTGTGGAGATGGGTGCATACACACACACACACACACACACACAGACACACACACACACACACAGATCAGTCCTCCTAGCTGATAACCACAGCAAGAACATCATCAGCGCCAAGAATAAAAAAAGAAAAAAAAACTTGCACACACACGTCAGATGCTAAGATACGGATCTGAGTCAGAGTTTAAATTAAGCAACACTCTAGTCGACTAACAATATTTAATGTAAATATATTACCGCTGCACTGCCCCGCATCCATATTGCACTACTCCAAACACTCTTTCAGTGGTGTAACAAATCGAGTATGTCTTCAAGATTAACAGCTTTCTACAATGAACTCTAACCCACAATCATGTCCCAGGGGGAAACACGATTCTCAGGGGAGGTTTACCTTAAACACAGTGTGTGTCAGCCACACCCTGAGCCCTGGCCCCTTCCCCCAAAGCATTTTCCAGTTTCCGATTGATCTACCAGAGTTACAAAACCATTACAAACTGATCTAATCGAACAGCCTTTAACACGGTCAGGACCAGCCCGCTATCTGCAAACGGGGGCTACAGTGACAGCCAGCGGAGTCACCCACCCTCTGAAGATCACTACACACTACAGGGTGCTGATCAGAAACAAACACTGTGTGTTCTAGAACATTGCGTTTAAATATAATTCGTCAAAGTCAAATAATCTTTTTCCATCAAACCCATATCCTGAGAATCACTGTAATTGTATCTGCTGTATAGGGCAGTTAATAAGCTTACTGATTTAATTATTAGTCATTTTTGCTGCTTTTTAAATAATGATTACGCAGTAAAACAGTTCAGGCAGATCCCATTTCATGAATCTAGTTTCTATAACTGGGTCCCATTTATATTGTGACTCTGTGCTGGATTAATGGTCAAGGAAAATTGTTCCCATTTAAAGCTTCTCTTCTTTGATCTATGTCTGTATCCTCGTGCAAAACAGACCAAGCCCAGGTAACACAGAGGACAGAAGAATGACACGGAGGTGACAAAGGGACACCAAGGGTCAGCGGCATATAGTCTATGTACCTGTCTTGTGTCTGGGTCAATGAGATCAAAGAAGGCCCTCACAGTGGCAAGAACCAGCTCTTTGCACCTGAGAAAGATGATAACACACACACACACACACACACATACGCGTTTGTATTCATATCTTTGTGGGGTCCGTCCATTCATCTCAATGGGAAAAATCTCGATCCCAACAATGACAACCTTTTTTGATTGCAGTAACAAATATATTGAAAATTGAGTTTCCCCTTGTGGGGACCGAAAATTTTTTCCCTACATGGTCAAAATAACAGGTTTATAATTACATTGTGGGGACATCTAGTCTGCGTATATATACATGCCCACACACAACCACACGCACATGCACAGTGTGGTCAGTCCCCCTAGCTGACAAGTGACAACCACAGCGAGAACAACAGCGCCAAGAATAACACACAGGTGCAGAGCTCTTTAGCTACTTTTAAAGTTCATCAAAGAGATAAACATGAACAGGGGTTTATAATAAACGTCCCTGTTGGCAGACGTCCACCCCACCAGCCTAGAGAAGGAGGCTCAGATGTGTTCAGAGATGAACAGACATACCACACGATGGACAGGTGGTCTGTGGACACCCAGGTCCTGGGCACAGCAGTGGTCTTCAGCAGAACCCCGCAGAGGAGAGGAGGGAGAGTTCGTTAGGTGCTAATCGCTCACTCGAAAACAGCAGGGGGACCCGGGTGTGTTGCCACAGCAACAGTGAAGCACGTTAGCATGGTGTTTGCCTGCCAGTCATTCGGCATGATTGCGGTCATGTGACGGGGACACTCTGAGCCTGCTTACCACCATGGACAGCTTGCTGGGGTCTCCCTGGGGGCAGGGCAGGGTGGTCAGGCCAGAGCGTACCTGGTAATCCCTGTGCCCCCCCCCAACAGACAGCACCGTCACATTGCGGAGCTCCTCCGTCCCCCCACACCAATGTCTCCTAACTGTGGAGTAAAAATCTGACATGGGGGGGTGGGGGGGGGAGACATGGTCACAATGAGCCGCAGTAAGGCTGCGGTGAACTGGATGGGTGAGCTCTGTCTGTTTGTACCTAGCAGGTCAGCGTCCAGCGCTAACACAGGGGCCTGATGAGGTGAAGCCTGGGTCAGGATCAGGCTGACCAGTGTGGGGTCGAAGCGAGGCAGGGTGAAGAGAGCCCGGGCGACCACGCCGCCCATGGAGTGGCCTACCAGCACCACACTGCGCGGGGGGTGGGGCTGATTCTGGACAGAGATATGAGGCGTCTGTCAGATCACCACCCTCAGCACCCCATCCAGGGACAGTTTCTTTCCCTGTGTCAACAGATTCCTAACCCAGTGACCGACATCCCTCCAATATATTGTTGTTGTTCCACCTGCACTGTAACTGTATTTGCATATTATGCAAATTTATTCTTCCATGGTGTGGTCCAACTGCCATTTTATACTGAGGTCATGTTGCATATGTTTATTACTTATTTGTTTACTCGTTCTGATATTGTACTGCTGTTTGTCATGCAATGTCCTGTCTTGTATTGCACTGCTGTTTGTCCTGCAGTGTCGCATTATACTGCTGTTTGTCCTGCAGTGTCGCATTACACTGCTGTTTGTCCTGCACTGTCCTGTCTTGTATTGCACTACTGTTTGTCCTGCAGTGTCGTATTGCACTACTGTTTGTCCTGCACTGTCCCGTCTTGCATTCACTGCTGTTTGTTCTGCAGTGGCTTGTCTTGTACAGTATTGCATCACTGTTTGTTCTATCCCCCGATGTCCTACCCTACAATTTTGCCTTAAGAATCACACTGTGATCCTCAGAACAAATGTGACAACAGAACTTAAAAAAAATGAAAGGAAAAGAAAAATAAAAATAAAAAACAGCACTTCCCCAAACCGGCCATGTTGATGCTACCCGCAAGTCTCCTGACCTTGTAGAGGCGGAGTATGGCCTTGATGCTCTCGTGTAAGAAGTGTGTCTGTCTCTGGAGGCTACCCCCATAGAGGGCCACCAACTCCTCTCTGAAATCCACTGTGAACACGTTCAGGTGGATCCTGCCAGCCATGCGCTCTGCTTTCCGGAGAGCTACTGAGCCCAGGGACCTCGCTGACACAGGAAACAAGAAATAACAAATGTGCCCTAAATGGTTAGGCACTCATGTTTTTTAAGTCACACAGAAATCACGCATGAATCGAGAAGTAAAGCTTGAGACTGGTGGAGGAAACAGAGAGCTGATGATATACAGCTCCGGGAGATCCGTCAGCCGAAATTCACATGGCTCCGGAGCTGGTCAGGGAGCACGCTCATCTCAAACTCAGCTTTCACCCGCAAGATGACAGCTAGGCACTGGCTCGTGGCCAGTCCACGGACTCCTCACCTTGCTTGTAACTGCCTGCGTTTCCAGGTAGGAACAGCACGGGGGCGCCACTGAGTTTCAGCCCCCGGGTTTCCTGGGCATAGGCACCCTCTCCGTACAGGTAGAGCCCGTATCCTGGGTAATGATTTGCCACACGCCGGGGAAGCTGTACACGCTGTGGGGGGGTGGGGGGGTGGGGTGCACACAGACAGACACAAAACAGAAGACAGCCGTTAATTGTCCAGCTCAAACTGGCACTCAGATTTACTTCCATGATGTCCTGCTCTGACCAGCTCGAAAGTAGCTTAAAAAAAAAAAAAAAAAAAAAAAAGACCCGCCAGCACCACACTGGGTCTGCTGATCCAGTGAAGGCTGCGCCCCTTTCTGCTTGCCTCTGACCGCTCCTCAGCCTGCCAGAAATCAAAGACCAGGTGGACGTATAACAGATGACCCTACGACGTGAATGTAGGTAATTAACTTAAGGAGGATCAACAGGGACTGTAAGGGAAGGATCGGACATGGGTGCCTGAAAAAAAACAGCCACCAAATGAATGAAATACTGCCTGGACATAACGACAATTTCTTTATCCACTTCAAATCGGACTCCCCATTACCAATTGTTTCCACTGATCATCACCTCTAACCTGCGCACAGACAACACGCCGATGGAGGTATAATTATCAAGTTACTTCGATCCGACAAAGGTTCGGTTTTCTTCTCTGTATCGGAGAAATGACACAGTACGCCACTTTCACAACATGTGCAGAACAGCTGCCTTCGGAGCGGTCCTTTGCAGGCTTCTGGCTTCCGTAAGAAAGATATCTGTAGCACCGTGCACGCTACGTATACTCATGCATGCCGTGCATCACGTTATACCCAGCCGCCCCCCACCTCCCACCCTCACGGACCCCCACGATCCACTCACCCGGTATTCGGGGTACTCGAACATATAGGTCATGCTGCATCTGTTCTCCTCGAATCCCCACATCAGCTCCCGGAGCCCCATCCCCAGGAGCCCCAGGACACAGCTGTAAAAGGCAACCGTGACGCGTTTCATTTCTCTGCCTCTTTGTTTCGGTTGCTTCCCGGCAGCTCTCGCTTAAACCACTGTCATTCCGAGTCCATGTTCAGCCTTCCTCATTCCAGCACCTGGCGTCAACCTGAACCTATGGTGTTTGCGAACGGCAGTTTCAGCCTCTCACGATGACAGACGCGATTGACGGCCAATAGCCGAAGCGGTGCGGAAATGCGAGCCAATGAGGCTGCGAAATGTTCGGCGACGTAAATAAATGGCGGGGCTTCGGCTGATCACTGTCCAGAGTAATACACAGCCGCGGGCAGTAACTGTAGATTCTTCATCTGTGAATGTAAAACTGAAAAGATGTTAAATGACAAAGGGCACAAATGACGTTTGCGTCCCGCAGTTGTTACAATACAAATGAATAGTACTGTATACTATTATAATATAAATTTGTTGTGTAGCTCAATATATACAATCTAATATATGTTGCAATATTCTGTAAATGTAGAATATTGCTAGGTATGTAAGCACAATTGCTTACCCGTGAGCAAAAAACCTATTCCATTTGGCATGCTTAGATAAACTATCATCAAACAGAACGCAGGCATAACTCTGCTTTCACAAAAATGTATTACATTTGCAATGTTCGTCGTTTGATGCTCTACATAGGCCTATTCCAATGCAAATGAAAATATGCTACATTCAAATAAAACTACTTCCTCTCTTTTTCCACGAGATTTATCTTTTGAGATCAATGGGGATTTGACTGAAAAGAGCTGAACAAGTTTTGCATGTGAAATAATAATTTGTTGTAAAATTATTCTACAGCACACTGGAAATGAAATTATATACAATCATTCATGATATTAAAAGTTGTGAATAAAATAACATTTTTAATCATTCTGTTCATGGTGAATTGTTTTTAGTTTCACAGACGTATTCACCTACATGGGTGGATTTCATTGCTAAATCAGTTTCGTGACCTTCATCTGAAACTATCTTTTATCAAATTATGTAGAATTTCCTGCTGTATGATCTGATTGTTGTGTTATGTATTCTCAATGCTAAGTAACTTTGTGTGGCACTCATTTTCAGGGAGGCTTTAAAAATTTAAAACGCCATTAACAATCATCCACTAAAACTTATATCTCGTATTTTTCGATGTTTAGTACATAGCCTATCTAATCGGTCTTTTTCCCACATAACACAATTTAACTCTATTGAATGAAGTCAGAATTTATTAATATCACTAGAAGGCATTCCTTGAAAAAGCTAGCAGAAGCTGTGCTTGAACAATAAAATTTTTCTACTTTGCAATACTTCAATTGCGACCTTTGGTAAGATGAAAAATGTGCCGTCTCCCAGTGTAACCTATACTGTTTCATTTTTTTAAATAAATGCAGGTCGTATATATTTCCTCAAAAGTTACAAAGAGTTACTGACTAAAATGTTGCAGTTACCAACTTATGTTACTATTCCCGGTTTTCTATTTGGAAGAATGCTTCATGTTACAAATCTATTTCTAATCTATGGTAGCCTACTTGCTTCCAGAGGATTGCAATAGGATACACACTTACCATTTATTCAATTCATTTGAGCTTTGCATATAGCGCCTTTAGCAAGAAAGTTGCTCAAAGGGACTTGACAAGAGTGTGTGGCAATCCACTGTTACATTATTATATATATATAAAAATCGATCTATGTATTGTGACGCAATTGCATATCCGGTCTTTCATTTCCTGCTTCCATTGGCTGAGTTTTCCTACTAAAATAAAAGTTGACAAACGCTGATGTTTCAGCTACTTTAAAAGGCGATCGAAATGTTAAATAATTAAATGCACGAATTAGGAAATTTGAACGGGAACTGGTGATTAAGTACATGAATTAGGCAGAGCTTAAAAACAACCGCTGTATTTTCTATCTGAGCGCAAGGATTATATGTCCATTCAACTGAACATTATTATCTTTATAGTACACGTATAACGATTTAAATATAGGTATATGTACACATATAACGAAAAAAATGTCTTGTGACTTCTAGAGCTGATCCCATAAATTTAAAACAGAAAAATAATAGAATAGTAATTTGTATCCTTGTTGTTATCCATTTTTCGTCATTTTAATGTATAAACATTTTCTAGTTTTCTCTGCAGTCTGGGATATTTTCGGTATACTTGAACGCTGAAACCCAGCAACGGTTTTAAAACCACATTCATGTGACACACTCAGACCGCGGTTTACTGGGGTGCTTAAGGGAGGCGTGCATAGCACCCTCAAGTTATTTATATGCACCCTTGGATGGAAGTAAATCAGTCTATGACTACGATATGATTGCAGGGACCGTGTCACACTCACTAATTTCAATTTGGACACGAAACTGCATGCTTATAGAGATATTATTAACTAGAACTTTTATTTTGAACGGTTAAAACCGGAAGTTCGTAGTGTTCCCAGTGTAACACGTGCTTTAAAATCGTTCTAAAGAGCGACAAGTCGTGTTCTGTGGATTTTGTATTCTGTAAATCTATGATGGATTGCCAAGTGAAGCTGACTGTGCCTGTTTATACAGGGGTGGATAAAGAGCTATTTCTTCGGGAGATTTACACAATGGTAAAATCACAAAAGGGCATAAATAACCACAGATCGCGACTGTATTTAGATAAAGGAGCCGTTGAAATTCCTGTGTACCGTTTGAAAGTTTTGCAAACTCTTAATAGTCAATCTTAAACAAGATTTTTTGTTAAATAGTGAACAACCATATATAACTAAATAGATACGCCATAATCGATTATCCATTGTAATCCGTGCATATCCTAGTACAGTGCTAACCGAGCTTATTAAAGGTGCCCCTTCTTCCCAGCGCCGCCCAGCCCTCATGAAGGGCGTAGCCCTGGGGTCTTGCTGTGACAAGTGGACGGTGGACTACCTGGCAGACCGAGGCGGAGCCAAGCCGGTGACAGTCCACGTGTCCCCCGAGCCACGGATGGACTTTCTGCACAAGAATTTCCTTTACAGGTGCTTTAAAACCATGGAGAATCGTGAATGTATGATAATGGAAGTGCAGGAAATGTGTACCAGCTGAATGATGATTTCGCACATCCAATCAAAAGAGAGCAGGTGCTATTTTTATAAGTCTGTCTGTCCTTTTCCAAATATCTTGAATAAACATATGAATGGAAATAACAGAGATATTACATAAACTAACAATTAACCCCTATTACCGGCTCAAATTGAATTATCCAATAGAAAGCAGTGCATCACTCTCAGATTAAGGATTATTAATTACTAGATATGACACTGCCACCGTGCCATCTCTATTAATTACATTCAAACTATGTCACATTGTATCTGTATTAAATACTAAAAAGTACAGGCTTTTATAAAGATGGCTCTATCAGCTGTGATGCAGTCAGGCCTTTTTATTACCTTAATGCTACTACGGATTTAAACTACTGTTGCTCCCTCACCTTCCCGCCCTAATCTGTGCTGAATCAGGACTCTGCCATTTGACAAGCTTATCAGGAGGGCGGCAGAGGAGACACACTCCAACTTCTTTGTCTCAGAGGTCAGTCACGCTACAATTTACACACCAAAAATTAATACATTTTATACATTAATGAAGAACAGAATCGTTGAACAGCTGGGCTATTATACTGCTCCTGTATTCTGATCGTAATACAAGTCCTGTTTTAGTCTTTGATGGGCCTACCGGCATATCTCCCTGAACTAAGGCTACGGTTAGCACAACCTCTGTGTTGGTGACATTTGACCCTATATGCTCAATCTGGCACTCTTGGTTTTCTGAGAGACGTTTACTAATGTGTTCTTGCCATCTTGTCCACGCAGAATGAAAGTTACTACCTCCGCTCATTGGGAGATGACCCCCGCAAAGTGAGTGTCTGCGATTCTTCCCGTTTGACCTTGTGCTAATGCCCAAAGTGACATTTGTATAGCTAAGGTGCCTACTCTTTCAATCAGGACCCAGCTGATTTGAGGAAGCAGTTTCCAGAGCTGGCAGAAGACTTTTGTATCCCAGAGTTCTTTGAGGCTGAGCAGTTCTTTTCCTGCGTGTTTCGGATTAGTTCCTGTGGCCTGCAGCTGTGGACACATTATGATGTGAGTTGGAGGGAAAAATCATGCGGCATTGGAGACCCAGATAACTGAAGAGCTGTGATTTTTATAAGATGGACAGGAGGAAGAGGTGGGAGAGAGGAACTGTCAGTATGAATGGCTTCTTCTCATAGGTGATGGACAACCTTCTGGCCCAGGTGAGTGGGAGGAAGCGTGTGGTTCTCTACAGCCCCCGAGATGTACAGTACCTCTACCTATCAGGTGAGACCTCCACAGCGAGGTTGCAATCACATCGTACCTGCATGTCCCAATGAATGTGCCGAACTCTCTTACATCTCGTTTCCACCAATATGGAGCCAGTGTTGGGCTGGTTCTGGCTTAGTGCCTTTTGAGAACCGGCTCGCATTTCCACTGCTTTCAAAAAATAATGGAACAGAAATGTTACACAGGCGGAAGTGAGAGTACAGGGTCATATGAATATTTTGGGGGGGATTTATTTCAATATATTTCGGATTTTAAGTTTTTATAAGCCGCCAAACCGAAATTTGCCTGTATCCACTTTTTTCTCCTTAAAAACTGTATTTCTAACGAGTTTGTGTGTGAAAGTGAGTTTATTCTCACTCGTTGTTTTACTGCTGTCCTTTTAAGGAGTCTGCAATAAAAATGTCCACTAAAAAGTGAACTTTGTTGTCCACCTTATGATCTCTCGGCCACTCGAGTGTCACTATTTTATTTATTCAACCTGCGACATGTTTATAATTTATTATTAAATCTGGCCAGCAGATCAATTTTCTTTTTCCAACAGAATAAATAAATGATTTATCATTATGCCACTAATAAGCTGGCAAGTTGTTTCATTGTTGGCAGCAGTGATATTAGACAAAACTAAGTCAGTTTTGGATTGTATTTTCCCAGTATGCGGAAGGTTTGGATGTGATAGCTCGCCCCAGTTTAGTTGACGTTACAGGTCCAAATTTTGAAACCGGCATTTCTGTGGTGTCATCGAGCCATTATTTCTGGCCCAGGGCCAATTTTTTTTTTTTACGTGAAAATGTGCAGAACCAGTTCTGGATTGGGAAGAAGCCTGGCACCAGCTCCGGCACCGTGTTGGTGGAAACATGGCGTTACAGTCTCATTCACGGAGCCTCAGAGGGCTGCTTCACCTTCTCTCTAATGCTTGGCGATTGTGTATCAGCTCTAGAGGGAAAATGGAGATGAACTTTTCTCACCATATAGACAGGATATGACCATCAGCCAGTCAGCTGCTGTTCTCGGCTCTGTCGTGAATCTCTGTGTCACAGAAGGATGTTGTTCTATCGCTTGCCATTGTTTGGAGGTACGAGTTCAGACTGTGATTTGCAAAGATTGAAAGCCCTGAAGTAAGCAGCGTAGTGTGGGGTGTTAGTATTGGAAATACGGATGAAGGTCACAAACTCTGAGTGCTGTCGACACCCACACCTTCCCTACAGGAGATAAGTCTGAGGTCCTGGACATCGACACTCCTGACTTGGATCGTTTCCCTGACTTTGTGAAGGCCAAACGATACGAATGTGTGCTGAACCCAGGAGACCTGCTGTTCATTCCTGGTAAGAAGGCCTCAACCTCATCAATGTTGCATCAGAAGACGCAGTACGTTACCTGCTATTGAATATCTTAAGCCATTTATCGTTGCTTTTAAAATTTTGCTTAGTTTCCTTGTCACGCACTGAGTGCTCTGTCCTAAGCTGTTTACTGTCTCTTTCTTCCTGGTGACCCCCCAGCCCTGTGGTTCCACAACACCCTGGCTCTGGAATTCGGGGTGGGGGTCAATGTCTTCTGGCGCCAGCTGTCCGTCGAAAGCTACGACAAAAGAGACCCATATGGGAACAAGGACCCGGTAGCAGTGAGTCGGGCCATGCAAACTCTGGACCGGGCCCTACGGGCACTGGATGACCTGCCCCCTGATTACCGCGACTTCTATGCCCGTCGCATGGTTCTACAAATCCAGAGCCGTGCCTACTCCACTGATCCGGAAAGAACAGGGCAGCCACACGAGAAGGCAGAAAGTATGGCCACGGCAGACATGGAAACTTCCGGGTATAGCAGCCCACTTTCTTAAATTGACCAACTTGTGACCTCATCACCTATGGTGTTTATGACTGCCAGTGTCTGGGAATTGGAGGGAAATAGAGATCGAGTGTTTCTCATATCACTCAAGTCAAAGTTTGACCTCGAGAGGAGTGATATCCGTTCCTCTACAGGCCCTGAGCTGGTTCGTCTCCATAAGAGCAGATGGAGCTGTGATTAACTCTGACCTCCGCAGAATAGGGAGAGAGTGAGCGAGACACTTGTCTGAATCAGACAAGATTTTCTGACTAAAATACAACATGCCTTTTGTAAGAGGTTCTGACAAGCAGGTTTCCCTGTGTATGTGTTGTGGAATTTTAAGGAGCATTTTATCTAAATAAAGCTGAATACTTGGCCTAGAAGTTCTGGTATCTGGTCACCATAAGGTTATCCCACCTCTACCCTGTCTGCTCTTGGGTCCTGACACTAACCCTCTTCCATACCCTATGCTTCTTATGGACCACGCCAGCTTCTCTTAAGTCTTCGGACAGAGCTGCATATTTTGTGTCCATATTACATCTATTTTTAAATACACAAGTATGTTTATCCATCCACCCATCCATCTATTTTGGTTTCTCTCTCACACTGATATATTACACATAAACTATCATGTTGCAGAGCTGCATGGACTAACCAGTCAAAGGCAGCAGTGTGGCTATGGGTGTGCAGGCGTGAAATCGTAAACTTTTTCATAAATAAATATTATTTTTATTGAAGTGTGAGATTCCTTGCACTTGGTTCAATGTGACTTACTAATTTGTACTCGGTCAATGACAAGTTTTAGTTCAATGCTTTTCATAGGCTATAAAGGACAAACAGTGCCATCTACAGGCAATAGCATCACCTACAACTCGTTAACCAATACGCTGCATGGTGATATTGCAGCATGACTATTACTAGGCTTTCGGTGTATAGTACTTCGCTCAGATGTCCTGTGGCCATCAGTTTTTCAAAAAAAATACCAGCTCCACACGTGGGAAAGACACGTGTAGGGGGCTCCCAGTGTCTCTCCGCTGTTTCCAGACCAGTGCTCGCCGTTTCAGTTTATGGGAGATTCATCTTTTTGATGACACTTCAATGGACTGGCATCCCTTCCGGGGTCTACCCCAGCCTTGTGCCCTGTGATAGGCTCCAGACCCTGACCACTATAAGCAGTTGGAAGGTGGCTAGATGGATATTAATGATACTTCATACACTTGAAGCATTTGAACTTTGTCTTAACCAAATTCAGATCGGTTAAATAAATAAAATGCTATTTTATACTGCTTAAATGTAACAAACGATCAGTTTTTTTTCCTCCAAAATTTTCATTACTCTAATGATTCTGCAAACAGCTGGAATGTAGCCTATATTACTAAGTTCTCAATTGCTTCAAAATTAATTGCATGATAACCAATCAAACCTTAATCACAGCTAATTGAGAGCTTGGCTGGCTTTAAAGCCAACACACTGAGCTTTTGTGAGGGGGGTTATGCTTTTGCTGTAGGGAGAAATGTACTGGATGTGGCGAACGGTTGAATCTATGGTGTTAATGCTAACGAGATATTAAAGATAACTGAAATCGGGTCAGTAGATTTGAGGCTTCTGGTAGTTTCCCACTCAATGCAAGGATTTGTGTTTGGAAGCTATGAGACTGATCATGTCTATATCTTTGCAATGGGTATGTGGCGACGTTTTCATGCTAATCCTACTGTTTATACAAACCTGACCAAGCTTTAGGATGCATGAGAAACCAGCAGGAATCTTTAAGATCGAGCGATTCACCAGTCACTCAGCCATGAGCATCTCACATTACGCAGTCTCCCTACTAAACGCAACCCAGCCATTCCAGTTTACTCTTTAATACACACTTCAATAATGCACAAAGTTTACATCTCTTCTAAAAATATGTAAACATTGTGGTGCTTCCCAGAGCTGTCCGTCCCCGTTACCGGAAGTGAACGAGGAAGGGGGGGGGGGAGGGGGTCGCTCCACTCTGTCTCCAGGGGTGTACGTCCACTTCGACCCCCAAGGGGTCACACAGGGCGTTTCCTTGTTTTAATATTCGATAATGCAGAACTGAGTCTAACCCTTTGGTTTGAAATGATGCCACAACTAGAATGTTCCGTGAGAAGTCCGTATCGTTGCGTTGCATTCTTTGCTGTCAATTACAAACTGTTATTACATTACAAGCTGGTGAGATCACAGACGGCAATATAGTTTATATTCGAGCTTTGTGACAAAGAAAAAACACAATGTGGACATTAAGTCCCTGACAAACAGGACTCCACCCATCTCCCTGTACGGCCCCCATCTGTGATGGACGTTGCAGCCACAGGCACGCACATGGACACACACGCACGTCGAGTTTGGCTTAAAATGAGGTCAACGCTCTTAGCACAGTTTTTATAAGGAAACAAACACCAGCCTCCTCCAGGAAAAAATGTGAAGTATGAAAAGCCTGCCCGTGGTTAGCGATGGCGCTTCAAGGCCCCCCGATCGTGCTCCAACATGGCCGCCCGCATGGTCCGCAGAGGCCCTGTCCATGTGCTGCAGCCTACCTGCCTGTGAGGGGGGACACAGCAGCACAGGAGAGGGGGCCTCCAGGCTGCTACGGGTCTGCAGTCTGCAGGACCTAAGGTGCAGACACCCAACAAATTCCCCATAGTCTCATTCCCCCCCCCCCAGCCATGACAGCAG